GAAAAGAAATAGTATTATTGCTCAATTAAATATTGTTAAAAAAAAATTAAGTTGTGTTATTTTTTAGTTATAATAATTCAAGTTACTTCAGATATAGTACTCAAATTTTATCCCAAAGTGGTCTCAAGTAAGATATTTAATTTAGTTTTATGCTCGTACAATTTAATTGTACAATAAATAAAAAAGTCAATAATTTAAATTTTATTAGCCCGGCGCATCCACCATTTTTACAAAATTAAACTTTTGAGAATTTTTTTAGCAATAATTATTATTATGCTTGAATTTAGCAAAAATGGAGCATAATAATTATTATTATGCTTGAATTTCACGAAACCTTTTTTAATTTTTTAATAATTAAAAAATTTAAAGCGTTTTTTTTGTTTAAGTTACATTAGAAGCATTATTATCAAACGCCAGTTTGTTGTATATTATTATAAAAGTTTTTTATATAGTATAGAGTTCTGTTTTTGATTTTATAAATTATTTATTTTTAAACTGTAAATTATTTTTTAAATAGGTAATTGTACGTTTTTCAAGAAATTGTATTTTTCGATGGAATGGATTTCAGGAAATCAAGGTAAATTTTTAATAAATTATAATTTTTATGTTTAATTATTCCTTTAATAATCAAAAAATTTCAAGTGCCAGTTTTTTATGTAATATATTTTTACATTTAGAACATTTCTGCCCCTATTTGGTTACAAAAATAGACTTACTAAATATCTAAAAGGAAATAAAATGTATCAAAGTTTTCAAAAAAAATCAAGTTTTGTTATTGTTAATTATATTATTTATTATTCAAGTTATTGTACTCAAATTTAATCCAAATTAAGATTTCTAAATTAGATTTATTACAAATACATTTTTTGTATAATAAATAAAACATTTTAGCCCGTCGCATCCACCATTTTTAGAAGTCAAAGAGAACTTTTTAATAAATTAGTAATTCTTGTATTGATTTTTAATAATTAACAAATGTACCATTATATTTTTACGTTTAGAGTAGTTCTGAGTGTGTACTTACTAAATACCTAAGAGGAGAAAATTCCATTTATCAAAGTTTTCAAAGAAAATCAAGTTATATTTTTTTAAATTATGATTTATATTTTAAGTTACTTAAGATATTGGTCTGAAATTTAATTCAAAGGTAGTCTTAAGTAAGATTTCTAAATTAGTTTTATCACAAATACATTTTTTGTATAATAAATAAATCATTTAATAATTAAGAATTTATTAGTCCGGCGCCGGCGCATCAACTATTTTTGGAAATTAAAATTTTGAGATTTTTTAAGAAAACCTAGATAACTTTTTAATAAATTAGTAATTCCTGTATTGATTTATTCCTTTAATAATTAACAAATTTAAATTGCGTTTTTTATACCATTATATTTTTACGTTTAGAGCAGTTCTGATCTTGTTTCGTTGCAAAATAGATTTTTTAAATATCTAGACTTACTAAATACCTAAAAAGAAAAAATTTCATTTATCAGTCAAAGTTTTCGAAAAAAATCAAGTTGTATGTTTTTTAAATATGATTTATTTTTTAAGTTACTTAGATATTGTACTCAAATTTGATCAAAGTAGCCTTAAGTAAGATTTCTAAATTAATTTTATTACAAATACATTTGTTGTACAATAAATAAAAAATGTAATAATTTAAAATTCATTAGCCCGGCGCATCCACCATTTTTTCAAAATAAAAATTCTTTAATAAACCTAAATAACTTTTTAATAAATTTGTAAATCCTGTATTTATTTATTCCTTTAATAATTAAAAAAAATTTAAAGTGCGTTTTTTATACCAATATATTTTTACGTTTTGAATATTTCTGATCCTGTTAAAATATCTTTTAAATATCTAGACTTACTAAATACCTAAGAAAAAAAAATA